TGCTCCGTAGGGCGGCTTGACACTTCTGGTCGCCTGATTGAAAAACTGGAAGAAGTTAGAAGGCAGTTGAAGGGTTTTACAGCGGTTGAAAGCTCTTTTCGAAGTGGCCGGATGGGCGGAGACAGAGAACAATGGTGCCCTGACACGTTGACAAAGTGTTCCACTGTCTATACCCATATTTTTAGTGGGCGTGAGCTTGTTCTGAGCTTTCTTCGGAATTCATATGGCAGCGCAGGAGCATTTGCCTGAATCGCCTGGCACCTTTCGAGGGAGGCGCCTCAGAATGACGTGGTGGTGCTCACTTCTTCTTCTTCTTCTTTTTCTTTAGCGTTTGTCCCGCTTGGTGGCAGGGTCCGCTCTTCTAATGTGATGACGCCATTTCTCCCGATTAAATGCTTGGTCAGGGTGGATTCCAGCTATTTTCAAGTCTGTATGCAACGTATCGAGCCAGCGCTGCTTGGGACGTCCCTTGGGCCGCTTTCCGGGCACCTCAAGCTGGAAGCTAGTTTTACAGACAGTGTTAGCCTTTCGTCAGTTTGTCAGAATACCTCCTTGTAATCGGAAATCTAATTTCAAGATAGTCGTCTATGTGGTCGACTCAGCACGTGCAACGAATCCGACGACTTTCATGTCAAATATGCTTTATGCGTGCTCCATTCTGTACCGGACAAAACTTCCTTTCATTGTTGCGTTTAATAAGGTGGATTTTTATTGCTTTCAATTATTTTTATTGCGTTTGTTGTATAATACTGATCGGGCTAGGTGGTATTGTGCTTGGATTTTTCATTTACGGGGACCTAATCTGACTCCGCTCGCACCATTTAACGTGCAGTGCAAATCATCGCTTTGCTGCTCAAGCATAAGTGAATGCATTTGGGCGCTGTTCGGCTTGTAGGGGCATTTTCACTTTTGCTAGTTCCTTTTGTTGGTTCATATTACCTACCAGGTCCCTTTTTGAAGAGATATACATAGGTGAGCACCTTTTTCCCCCTCCAGACCGAATTGTGCCTGCACTTGCAAGTATTGTCGTGAAAAAACATTCTGTTATCTGGATTGCCTTCACCTGGAATATTTCAACACGCACACTGGGTCGCTACCTATTTTCTAAAGTTTTGACTCCTTAATATTTGATATACTTTGAAGTTCTTGAACTCGGATTTAACCAACATAATCCAAATGTTCAACAGGCGGATATAGTCTCACCTGCATTCGCAAGAAGTTGGATGCGGGATTTCGAGCGTTTCGATCAAGCTCTGGAAGAGAATCGAAGCTCTTACATGAACGATCTCAGCCGCTCATTGTCTCTGGTGTTGGAGGAATTTTATTCAGATCTCAAGACAGGTAATATTTGTTGACTAGAGTGTGACAGTATTTCGATTACTTCTGTAGCACATATTCCGTAGAACATCCTTATGAAGGAAGAACATGGAGGTATTCAGAAAAAAAATCGAACAGTTGTGAAGATTCAGAGGTATAAAACAAAGAGGTAACCCAGCCTTCATTTCGTACGTGCTCCTAGACGAAGCCGACGAAATCGTAGTCCTCCCATGTGCTTATCAGTAGGACGAGGGAGGAACATCGAACTCGGAGTCATCATTTTGAACCAGTTTGCTCAAGGTCAAGTCTGAACTTGTGCTAAAACAATTATATTAAGTGGATGAATAGGAAATCATAGAATACGGTTAGACTATTGAGAAATACTGGTACGAACATAAGCACTGTTCTCCATTCTCAAGCCAAGCTTACCACTGGAAACTTCCAGCATGCCTGAGTTGGTTTCTAGCATACTAGACTGCGCATCAGTCATCGGGCATGGGTGACGTGGCGCTGTCAGTACAGCCCCCCCCCCCCACCTCCTTCCCCATACTGTTCACCAGCTGTTGCAAACTTTACCACTGAGCGAGGGTGGGAAAGGGTATGGACACCTTCGGTCAAGTATCATCAATAGTGGTTCCGTCGCATCATTGAATAGGGGAACGGGGGGGGCGGTATAACGCCCGTGAACGGCAAAACTCAACAATCGAAAAAATTCCTCTTGAGGTCAAATAGGCCACTCCACCCCCCTCCCCTGTGGTGAGCTTCGCACGTCGACGCGAAGAACGATTCCAGACGTCGTTTTGGAGAAACATTAAGTTTTCACTCACAACTTATCTGATTCTAAAAAGGCAAAAGAGAGTAAAAGCCGAGGGCCAGTTTTTTGACAGTTTCCCCGCCTGAATCATCTATTATATGATCCGGAAACAAATTTCTTCGTATATCGAACCACACACTCATTTCATTCATCACATTTCACTCAGCTTTGAGTGAAGTGTGTTTTCTGTTTCTCCTTCGTATAGTAACTGAGTGAGCTGTATTATACGGCATTTACAGTTTCGATTTCTTCGGCAACTGGTGAGGGCATGGACGAGTTTATGAAAGCGGTTGGCGAATGCGTGGAGCAATATAAGAATGAATACGTCCCGATGTACATCCGTGTTTTAGCGGAGAAATCTAAATTGGACGAGCAAGAGAAGCAAAGAAAGTTGAGTGAGGTTCGTTTTTAAGAGATGTTCACGATTTTGTTGAAAGAAGCGCAGTTACCCCTAAATTTCATTCTAGGTTTCCGAGAAAATGGAGGTGTTGAGCGTACACCCTACGTTAGACCCGCCAATCAGAGAACGTATTCATCTTGGAGGTGTGGAGCAAGAAAATGCTGAAGATGCCAATGTTCTTCGTGGGTAGTCCGATTTATCCATGGCTAAACGCAGGCGAAACTCAAGAGTGAAATGTGCAGAGTTTTTTCGATTACATTGTTGAAGCGATTCCGGTGTTTTGCAGAATTATTTATGCGTGTTTCGTTCATTCGCTTATGTCTTGTTGAATATTGATTACGTTGATGTTGTTACAATGTTGAACTGTTGAAATAAAGATTCCAGCTAACCTCTCGCATTGAATTCAGCGTTGAAACGATTGATACAGTTACTGGAAACGGTTAAGTGGTACCCCTTGAATGGTGCTTTCTTTTCAGATAATTTTTTTAATTTACTAGCATCTGAGAAGCTGGAGATATATGGGTGACAAGACATTTCATAAGGTGCGTTTTTTTTTGTTTTTCGAGGACGACGTGAACTTACAAATTTCTTTTGCTTCACATTGTTCGCGTCGAGTATACTGGAGTTTTACGTCTTGTTTTATGCAAGTACCTTAGTTGAACTGCCAGCTTTCAGTGCCCAAGAAGGTCACAGTATGACCTCAAGAAACGGTAGAATTGTGTTATAAAAGAAACTGGAGAGGGTACTCTGATTTTGACACTTCATTGTCCTTTGCGTTTTTGCATTCCCTTTCACTTTTCTCAGAACAGGTCAAATCTAAATGCATTCTAAGGGAAACTGTACGCTCACCTCCTCAGATCCTGGTCCTTACCAAGGGTTTGAGGTGATGTGTCCGCAGCTGCAGTAGCGCGTCACTTTCTCCGGTCCAAAGTGCACTGTAACGGAGCTGGATGGTATTGTAACCTGGCTGCAGTCTCCGTGCTCTGCCCCTGTCGCATGGCCGTCCACACGCGTGATCATAGCTGAACGGCCTTCTTGCCGGCTCCCTCTCTTTTCTGATTGTTTTCTCCCACCGGGTGTATGTTTCGCCGCGAGATCTTGGCATTGACGCAAGCGCTGCACATTGAGTATAACGCGGGCGGAGTATGGAGAAGGCATTCGGGCGTCACTAGTCTCAGCCCTGTTTTAGTGCGCATATGAGTGGGTAAAGTGGCGCTTTACTGCTGCTGCGGACTCAGTCATTTGGCTCATGGAAAGGGCTGTACTCGGAGGTGAGGGTGCAGCTTTTCGTTCAGCTCCTAATTCATGTTTGGCCATAGCATAGAATCAACTTTAGGCCTCGGTGCTTCTGGGCCGGGCAGGAGACGCCCCAACAGTTGTCGAAGCGGTACAGTTCCATGGGATTCGAATCACCAAAAACGATGCTTTAGTGAAAGAGGTACGTTTTTCCTGCTCCTAGTTTGTCGCATTCTGGCTTTCAGCAGCTATCTCTTGGTAGAAGAGTACATTGTTCTAGTTTGTAGCTATTTCGAAGCAGTTTCCCCTCCTGCGTCGGTCATTTATGATTCGGCGACTTGTCATCGGCTTCAAGGTTACATCATGAGAGCAATAAAGTACTAAAAACAGGAAACATTCTTCCGATAGGTGAAAACAAACAATTGGGGAGGGGAGGACCTGCGGAAGGCAGTGGAGTCTCAGGGTCTGAAGTTCATTGCTCTTCACTACAAGCTCATACAAATATCCACTGGCCCAATTTATTAGAAATTATTTCGAAGCCGAAAGAAAAACTGCCTTGAATTGTAGATTAGTTTTGCGCTCGGTCTTCTTTGAAGCCAGTTCCAGTTCTATGTTCTATTGCATACACGGACTTGCTCAAAGATATGAGCGTTAGGCAGCGTTTAGACTTTGCGTTGACG